AGTCAACAAAAACACCTTTTTTGTCAAAGCTTCATACATGAGCATGGAATATCAAAATGAGATGAGATCAAAAGGTTTGCTTAGAGGACATCTCAAGCTTTCTAAAAAGTCAAAGAACACCTCCAAAGAGTCAAAATTAAGGAAGTTATGCATTGGTGAAGTTGACCTTTTTTTCAAAATTGCCAAAAGTCAACTATCCCTAAAACTTAAAATTTTGCCAAATGGGCCCAATCTTTTTCACTTGTTTTGAGTTGGAAACATAGTCCACGAGCTCTAGCCTTTTCCACTTGTCCATATCTTATTTTTATTATTTATTTTGATTTTTATTTGAATTAATTCAATTTAAATCAAAACAAATCATATAAAATCAAAATTATTGAAAACCAAAGATTTTATGCTTGTTTCAGGCTTTATTATACAGCTAGCAAACATTCAAATTCGTGCAAGGCATTAGAGTGGACAAAAAGATTGAAAAAAGCTATTTTTGGAATGATATTGAAAGTGAATCAAATCAAATAAAAAATCATTGAAGGAGAAAGATTTGGATCAGTTTTGGAACCCTAATCTATTCCTTGGTACATATAGAACAAAGTCAGACCTAAAAACAGGTTAGAAACAGGTGTAGCAAGCAAAGCAATATTTGAAAAAAATCAAGAAAAGTGCAAGATCGAAATCCCATTTGGAGGCAGTTTCAGGACCTTTGAACGATCCCAATCGATTCCTGGGAGTCTCTGCAAGCTAAAGCAATCAAGAACAGGCCCATTCCAGTCCCAAAACGCATTGTAAGTCCATCACGACATAGCTCTGTTCTTGAATTCGAATCTCATGATATGGGCATTGTTAACATGAATTAGTCACATATTCTTGATCTATGAGACATATGCAAGCTTGTTGTATGATTTAATTTCATTTATATAGCCTATACAAGATTTCACCATGGCTAGGTTTCGAAGCTTCGAATTAGGGTTTTTATCTACAGGTGAAATTAGCTTTGATGAAGGGTACCTTTGTGTTCAGAATGACTAGACGAATTTAACCATGGCTTTGTTTTTCATTTATCATGTTTGTGCTTGATTTTGAGAATGCACAAGGTTGTAGCTACGGATGAACGCCCGTAGGTAAAAGTGTTTCACTTTTACCAACGGATCCAAGAACAGGGACGAAGACGTGGCCTCATCTGATTTGGCCATTTGAATTTTTGCGCAAAATTTCCAATAATTCTTTGTTTTATATATTATTATTATTTTCCATTATATGTATAACAAAAGCAAAGTGGTGTAGTGGCAGCCAGACAGCGCTTAAGGCATTAGGAGGCTTGAGGCCAGGGGTTCGACCACTGCCTCCAACATTTGTGTTTTTCCTAATTTCTTTCAGGTTATCTAGTGCGTTTGCAAGCCTAAGGAACATCATACGCCCTCATCATCAATCATGCCAGATGGTCAGATGGCCAAATCTGATGGCCACCATTGAAGGTGCATCATGAGCAAAAGTCAGCGTGCCACACTGGATCCTCAAAGTCAAACGTGGACCTTCTCAAATGGGCCCATATCTGACTATTGGCACCCCTATTTTTTCAGGCCCATTTCTTTTTCTCTATTTATTTATATTTATTTTATTTAACTTATTTAATTTATTTACTAATCAAAAATTAATATCTTTTTATAAAAAAAATCAAAAAATATTATTTTTCACAATTAGGGTCTAGATTTTATTTTTATTAAAAAAATCAATTAATTTAATAAGTTATTAATTTTAGACAATTTTAATTTCCTTTTGTAAATAATTAAAATCAATTAGAATAAATAGGTTTTATGGCTAACTTAATTATTATTTTTTTCCTAAAATAACAAAAACCCAAAAATATGTCATGTAATTATTATTAATTAATTTAATAACTAATTAATTTAGCATTTATTTTTGAAACCTAATTTCTTTTAAAAAAAATTAAAAACAACAAAAAAAACATTTTCTTTTTTAATTAGGATAGAAGGGTCAAAACCCTAATTTCTCGTCGATTTAATTTTTCATCGCGCGCTTTATTTTTATTTTTCCCAATTATTGTATATGCTCACAGTTTGTAATAGTTTAAATTAGGACGTTTATTTACATTTATCGCTTTTAATTTCAAAGGGTTTGTTTTTGGCTATATAAATACCTGAAGCCTTGTAATAGCTTAGTTTAAATTCCGCACTTTAAAATTCCGCAAACTATTAACTGTTAGAGGTGTGAATAATTAGGGCTTGCATGACAAGAATGTATGACTAAGTTTAAAACAGTTAGATCACCCTAAATGTGCAAAGATAAATAAACTGAAATTGAATCATTCGCACATGTGCACTCCTAGGGTACACTCCTATTTGGTTGCCTTCGGTAAATGGTCATTGAGTATAGGATGCTTTAGTGGTCATCCTTTTGTCCAAAGATCATAGTTGCCTTGGAAAGGTTGCCTCGGATATTGTTTCCTCGGATAAATGATCTAAGACATTAGGGTTATTACTAAGACGCCCTAACATTGCTTTAGTGACCGTACGTCCCTTTTCGAATTGACCCTCAAAACTCCAACGACGGTGCTACCTACTCACTAATAGTGGGATAGCGTTGTCTAAAGGAAACGAATACATAACGATTCTTTTTTCGAGTAGGTATATTGAATCTTAAGTGCTTGCTCAATCAAAACAAATTTTTTCACACTTACACTCCTTTACAAACAAAGTTTTCAAAAACACTTCATTACACTCTTGAAGACAGAAGCAAGAGTTAAATCGAAGTTAAAACAAAAAACTTTTCAAAGCCCACAAACACAAAGAAAACAATTTTGAAAATGAATAGAAATTACCTAAGAGCCTGTTGATAACTACTGATAGAAAGGGTGCTAATACCTTCCCTTTCTATAATCTACCCCCCGTACTCAGAAATATCTCAAAAAAGGAATTTTTCTGTGCTTTTTTCCTTTCCTTGTTGGATAAAGTAAAAGTCGGTGGCGACTCTTTCTTACCGCGACATTTTGAGAACACAAACGCAAAACACAAACCAGCATTTCAAAACAGTCCGGTTCTGGCCACCGTATCACAGGAAGTATTCGTTCAAGCCTTCAATGTGTTCAAGTTAGTCGAATGGTATCAAGGTTCTTAAACTTTGCTGTGATCATGGTGTCAAGAATTGATTCATGCAAGGTCGGAAGGAAATGTATTTGGATTATTAAAAAAAACAAAGACATTATTCAAATTTCAATTTCAATACAACTCTCATTCGATCATATTCAAATTACGCAAGATTATTTCAAGGTCCTTTTCAAAAGTGGTGCCTTAAATTAATTCAAGATTCATAATTTCAAATGCACATTGCAAGTCGACATTCAATCGAGAGTTTTAATGGACATATCATGTTCAGCCAGAATCATAACTTCATCATGTAAATGATTCAAGTTTCAAGATTAATTACATCAAAATGAAAGTCATTCATGTTCATTACAAAATGTACAAGAAGTTTACGATGCCTTACACTACGTAAAAAGAAACAAAAATCTAAAGTTAAGCCTATGCCAAACTTCCTTTCAATTCTTTTCATGCTTTAATCCTAATCACCATGACAAAGGCTCCAAAGATCTTCATGCTAAAATCCGCTGGCCATTTCTTTTACTCTGTTCTCAAGCTATCTTCATGATCAAACTCTACTCCAATTAACTCTATGTTTTAATTATCCCTTCAAGAGATCCAACTCATTCAACATTCAACTAGACACTAATCCCCCTCTAGCCATACTTCATGCATACTTTCCTACCAGTTGCTACCATGTTATCAATCTGCACAAAAGAGGATAAAACAAGCATTATTGTAGAATCTGGATAACTCAAGTTCAGAATAAGCACTATTACATATCACACATGCTGCAACAAATATCATCATTCATGCCAACTTTGTGATCTAAAAACTGCTGTATAAAAACAGCATGCTACATACCTGTATGAGCAAACCATTACTACATCCAGCTCAAACCAAGCCAGCTGCCAAATACCAAGATACACATCAAAACAAGTTGTATAATCAATTTCATGGTACGCCAAAGCAGGTTATAACCAGGTTGTGCATCACAATAACTAAAAAAACAATCCACTGTTTAATCAAAAAATCAGAAATAAGTCAAATTGCTAGCTCAATAAAAACAGCAAAAAATCAGAAAGTCATGGAAGAAGAAGGGGAAAACATGGAAAATCAAAACAGAGTTCTAACAAAAATTATAGCTCAGCAGCTAACCAATATACTAACAGTCTAAACACTCCTAACTAATTTCAAAACTAACTCTTAACCGTGTCCTGTTCAGAAGACAAAATATTTGTAAACAAAACGCTCAGAATAAAGTGGAGATGGTGGCATTCCAGAAGTCATCAGTCAATTCAAAATGTCAAAACAAAGCTCCAATCAGAATTATATAACATAAACTTACCATATTGATTTCATTGGGGGGGGGGAGATTCTGGATTCTGCAGAAAGATCACTCTCCCAAAACTCTGTTTTTTTCTTCAATCTTCATTTGCAACAAACAACAACATCTTCGTCTTCAATTATTCTCCATAGCTCACAGAAGAATCACATAAAAATCATAGAGAAATTCTCTCTCTCTCTCTGACTCTCCTCTCTTCTTTCTCCCTGAACTTCTCTGACCTTCATCTTCATTTTGACAATCGGCATAATCACGAAAAGGCTCTTCCAATCTTTGATTCTTCACCACCTTCGTTGTTCTTCAACCTCTCTCAAGTTTCTGCAACTAAGGCTACCATCAGCATCAGTTATTCACTTCCCATCATCAATATTCAATCATAACATCACTTCACGTCTAACAACCACATTGATTCAGAAATCGCACAAGAAGTAGAACAGGAGAATCAAAAGTGAAAATATGAAAACTAGAGTATATCCTTACCTCTAGTTTTCTTGATTTCGACGTTGTTTCGAGCGAAGCGTATCCGATTGGGGATTCTTCTATGTCCATCCTTCAATAATTCATGTTGTGGAGATCATTGTTGATTCCGCAGCAGAGAGGTTTGTGAAGCAAGTTCGAAGACCTGAAGCGAATATCATAGCGGAACCGCCATTGCAGCGAGCTGACGAAGGGGAATTCGCCACTGAAGCGAACAGCGACGATACTGGTTTGAATGAAGAAGAATAACACTGAGATGAAGAAGACACCCTGTGATGTTGAGACGATGGAGAAGGAGGATCACTCTGAATAGCGATTCGATCAACAATGATCTGGAGCAACCAAGAGCATGCGAGAGCTAGATCAAAGGATTTCTGTGTAACAAGACGAACATTGTCGTTAGGAGATGAAGAGACGCGTTTTCTCTCTCAACCCTAGTCTCGTTTATTTTTTTTATTCTTCATTCTTCTGTTTACTTTAACAAAAAAAAGAGAAATTGAATAACAGGCTGAGATGTTTTTGAAGGTGGTGATGGATCAGTAATTTGGTGGATTGAAAATCTTTTCCTTGGCCCATCTGCATACTCTCTTTTTGGTACAGTTGATGGTTGGGAAAAAAAACTCCTCATATACTTGTTGTTTGGGCTTTCACTTCATGAGTCAACTTGTTCTCATTTTTGGAGTCATTAGAAAAGAAAACCATGTACTGATGGACCTAGCGCCTAATGTTTTGCTGGAGCAAACTCCCTGGATTCTGCTTCACCTCCCTGACTATTTTTAGTTGTTTTAATGTTTTCTTTTAGTAAATTCTCTCTTAAATTTTCTTTAATAAAGATTAGTAAAAAAAATAAATAGATAAAATTTAGGATTTTTTAATTTTTTGTAGCTTTCTGTGATTAAAAATTTACAAAAATCAATAAAAATTCGTTAGATTTCTCATTTGATTTTTGGGAATTAATTCCTAATTTTTTCGATTATTTGAGACTTGTGATTCACCTTTGCTTGTTGAGTTGAGTCTTATGTAGCTTCGTTATTTGATATGTGGATGTGTTTGGGTTCTGATTATGATTTATTTTTACATCGATGAAGCTTCGACACCTATTCTGAATATTTGATCTCTGACTATTTGTTTGTTGATGCCAGCTCGCGCGAAGTATTCCAGGTTTCCTTGCTTTGGTTTCGCTTTTTTCGGACATTATTTTTCGTTTGGTATTATACTGCTTCCAATCTATTTTTCCACATTTTATTGCTTTCTAGATATCATTAGAAGTAGGAAATAAATAGTGTGCGCTTGAAGTCGTTGTTTAAAGACCTGTAGCAGGCATTCCACACTTCATTTTCTATATGTGTTGTGCTTGTGTTTGTTTCCTTGGTTGTTGATTGATGAGTCACTCAATTTAGGAATTGAGATCACGACTTCGCTCTCAGTGCATGATCCCTATAGGATTTTTATCGCTTTCATTTATTTCTTGTTGATCGATGAGTCATTAAATTTAGAAATTGAGATCACGACGTCACTCTCATTGCATGTTCCCCGTAGGATAGTTTTTGTTAGACTTTCTTTGGCATGCTAACCTAGATAGGGTATCTCTAGGTGTGTTCTCTTGAGCTTATTGGCTTGCTTGTTTGATTTCATCTTTGTGTGCATGTTTTGTGAAGATATACCCTCAGCATGTTCCCTTAGGAGCTCTCGATTCAACTAAAGATGATGATTTGAGATAGACATAGTTTTAGGTGATAGACCCTTGATATACTCCTTTGGCACTTCTTGATTCATCTATAGATGATGAGTTGAGATAGACATTAGGTTGGTTATCCCAGCATGTCAACTTAGGGTAGAGATTTCCCTTCAAAACATAATTTTAGGATCTATCATTGTATGATAACATTAGGGATAGAGATAGGCTAGTCTCCCTTAGATATTTTCTTCTCATTTTTGGCATCCTTGCATTAAGACTAAAACTCTTTTTATTAGAAAATGCATAAAACATCTAACAATTTTCAAATAGTTTTTTAAGGTAAAAAATATTAACCAATGCAAACTCTTTTGCGCCTTCGGGCTTTTCTTTCAAACCTTTTTCAAAAGAACCTGTTAATTCACTTATGTGTTGACGCGTAAATCTCCAAAGGTCAAGTTGCGGCAGAAGGCGAAATTAATATTGTTCATTAAAAAATACAAACCAACAAAACTTTTGAAGCCGAACTACGGCTGCTCTGATTCCTTAAAAGGGATACGTAGGCATTGGGGTAGGGCCCGAGCGAGCACAATTTTATTTTCCCTACATTCTTTTCTCCTTTCTTTTGCATGCATTCCCTATACAGCTTAGATATAGATTTGAAACACCCCCATAAGATAGACAATAAGAGTGGATACCATAGAGGACTACGGGCGTGTGGGGTGCTAATACCTTCCCCTTACGTAACAGACTCCCTTACCCGATCTTGGTCGTTTGATCGTGATTTCACCTTTCTCAGGTTTACTCGATGTTTACCTTTCCCTTCTTGTGGGATAAAAAATGTTCAATGGCGACTTCGTTGATTTCATTATCAGTTGATTGTTCATTTGATTGTTTCACTCGATCCAAACCAATTACCCAGTCGTGTTCCTGAGATCCCCTAGAACTTATTCCACCCATTCCCAAGGCTTGCAACACCCTAGATCATTATATTCACGCATAACTAGTTGGTAAGCTTTTTTTGAAATCGAAACTGCAGATTCATGCCATTTAAATACCTATTGCGCATATATTTGTGTTGTTAATGATGTTTGTGATTGTTTCAACGTGTTACATGCAAGCTTAAGGACAGGGATGAGATCGTGCCATTTCTAGGGCATGATATTTATTTCCCTTTGAATCTCATGGTTCATGGCGTTTCAGGCTAAAATAACCTCAGATTTGGAATCAGGAGAAGATTTTAAGGGGGGTAGGGTAGGTTATAATCTTTGAAGTTTTTTATTTTCGCAGGTTCATTTTTTATCCCACCGGAGAAGATAACCAGAATGTTGACTCCGGCGCCCCAAGTGTCTCTCTCTTATTGGTCTAAGCAGGCAAGCACGCGTGTTTTGTATTTCAAATATATCCCTGTTTGATTTTCATTTACATATTTATCATTGTGTTAGAATTAACGAATTGATAACTGGCTCAGTTGGTGAAAAGGGACGCATATAATGGATAAGACCTGGGTTCGATACCCAGGTCTTGCATTTTTATTTTTTCTAACATAATATATGCAGATTCAATATGCTTCTAGGCTACGCACGCTCACCATACACCATCAAGTCCATGCACATCTGATCCAGATCCAACACCCTGAGCGTACAGCCTCACCATGGACTCTCCTGAGGATCTCCCCACTGAATCCAATGGCAGATCTGGGCTTCAATCACTTGGGGCCAGCGAATTTTAATTCAGACCCCCCCCCCCCCCCCCTTGTTTCTTTCACTATCCGGGCCCATTTAATTTTTTTTGTTTTGTTTTTATTGCTTTTTCTTTTAATTTTTTTTATTTAATCAGCAAATAAATATAAAATCACAAAAAATTAGGTTTAGTTTTTTTTTTAAATTAATTTATTATTTTAACTTTTTATATTTAATTTGAAATTAATAGACTTAAGATTTAATTAATTTCAATTCTTTTCATAAATAAAAAATACTAAAAATGTTAGGTTGATTTTTTTTAAATTAATAATTTTTTTTAATTAATTAGATTTATTGTGATTTAATATTCTTTCCCAAATAAAACAAAATGATAAATAATATTTTCTTTTAACTTAGAAGTACCTTAGGGTTTTAGACTTTATTTTCAATTCGTGCGCGTTTATTGCTTCGCTACTATTTTTCATATTATTGTACTTGCTTATGGGATATAATAGATTTAAACTAGGATATTTACTGCTTTATCCCCCTCATTTTTGGACTTGTAGTTAATTCCCCTCCCCGAAGCTTTGTAATAGCTAGGATTTTACATTCCTACACTTTAAATTTCCGCACACTATTAATTGTTTAGATGCATGACTAATAGGATTGTATGGCAAGAACATAAAATCAAAGGCTAGCAAACTTAACACAAGACAAAAATAATTGAATGCAACACACTCTCACATGTACACCTCTAGGGTATCCCTACTTTGGTTACCTTCGAAAAACAATTACAACTCTCGAAACGTGAGAGACTTTATTGGCTACCCTCTGGTTTAAAGATAAAAAATGACCCTCCTGATGCTGCATCGGTATGATCTTGAAGCCCTAGGGTAGTTACTAAGGTTTATCTCCCAGTTTCCTTTGTGACTATACGATGTCCCTTAGAATGTCCCTCAAACATCCAACAACTAGGGCTATCTACTCACAATAGTAGGATAACACTGTCTAAAGGAAAGGAGGAAAAGAATAATCCTTTCGAGTATAGTAGATAGTTTTTAGATGCTTTCTCAAAACAAAATAAACTTATACACGTACACAAAACTCTTTCCATAAACATTTTCAAAAAACTTTGTATACATTCTCTACCAATCTGAGAAATATTACAAAGTTCGCTGTACTACGGCACTTTCTTTCAAAATACTTTTCAAACACATAAAGCACAAGGTATTTTTTCAAAATGAGCTAAGAATCTAAGAGCCCGTAGGTAACTACGGATGGAAAGGGTGATAACACCTCTCCTTTTCCATAATATACCCCCCTTACTCAGAAATAATCTTGAAAGGTCTTTTTTTGTTCTTTTCAGCCTTTCCTTTATTGGATAAAAGAAAAGTCGGTGGCGACTCTTGCTTACCGCAACATTTGCAAATACAAACGCAAAACCAGTATAATAGTCGGTTCAGCCATAGTATTACATAACTAGCGACTCTGTTGGGGACATAAAAAGTGGGGTTACCTTAGAGTTAGATCATTTTAATTACTTTCATTGTGTGTTTCGTGTGCTTTATTTTTAAAAGGTTTGATGGGGTTACTGTTAAAGATCCTATACCCGGATCTGGGGCACTTTTAGGTAAGCAGCAATAGATCGTGGAGATTGTATGGTGTAGACCGATATGTTTGAAGCGATGGCTGCGTTAGTGTGACACATTTGTTGGTACCAGTATCCCTTGTGTTAAATCGAGGAGAATATGGGGCTGCTGTGTGGTGTCATAAAGCACTAACGGACCTTAGAACCTTAGTTGAACAAACTTGGCCATTAGAAAAGTAGTGAGATAGCCGACTTTGTTATAAAGTTGAAGATTGGTTGATACTCGATACTACACTCATTGAGATCGGACTTTCGGGATATTTCAACCGCAAGAAAAGATCGCCTGAGCTGAAACAATTTCTGATAAAGAAAGATCAGTGATATTGAGACTCCTTAGAACCCGATTACTTTTCTAAGACAGGTTGAGCCAACTAAACTTCAAGAGGGTATTTACCTATAAGCCCCATGCAAGCCTAAACCTAAGGTCTTATGTGTTTTGCTTGTGTGTGATTAAATTGTTCAAACATAACATCATGCATCATAACATCCATTCTCATTCCACTAACCATTTCAAGGATCTTTAGGGCCTGTGATGCAGGTTATGATGAACCAGACATCTAGCAATGGGCAAGGGGATTTATTTTCCTCTAGCCAATGCCGTCAAAAGACCAAAGCATGATAAC